CATATTTAATTTATAATTATTAGTTAATATTATTTACTATCATCGTTAATTTATAATTATTATTTAATATTATTTACCCGTGCATCGCACGGGCTACACACTAGTATAGAATAATACAAACAACAACATGCAAAGTCAACGATTTGAGACCAAGTCTTACAAGTTACAACATGGAAAGAACACAAATCTCCACTCGGCCTCCATCACCGTCAATTAGGCTAACACCTTAACCACTCCGACTTCCCCAATTGCCTTCTTTTTTAATAATAATAATAATAATAATAATAATAGTAGTAGTAAATTAAGGGCCTAAAGGCCAAGTTGAAAATTTTTAATTACTACATAAATGAGTTAAAAAGGTTAAAAAGATTAATGAAAATCAAAATATATCGGCTATGTTTAATAAGCCAAATAAGCTAGTTGAATTTTTTATTTAAGTTAGAATATCAGTTTATTTTACCAAACACTTTTACCATATAAGATAACTTTTCAGCTGTAAGTCATAAACTATGAGCTATAAGCCCAAAAATTACATATATAAATTATAAGATACTAATTTTTTTTTTTATAAGCTAGTTTATCAACTATCAACTAGTTTGTTATCTGGTTTTACCAATATAGTTGATCAGTCCCACATAATATAAATATTCATGGTCATACCTTTATCGTACAAACAACTCCAACAATACTGTTATACTAATAATAATTATGAATAGAGTAGGGTATTGGTCCCATTGGAACATTTGTTATGGAAAAGTAGCATATGTCATATTATTAGTTGATTGAATTAGAGAGTTTGAGGGGATTGCTAATAATAGTTAGCTATGAAGAGTATGATACTGATAAGACTTAATTATGTGAAATTAGTATATGTCATATAATCGAATGAATTAGAGTGTTTGACGGGCTAATTTTTTTTTTTTTTTTCCAAAACGATAGATTTTATTGCTCAAACCCAAAATAATATAATCGATGGCAACGAAGCCTACTGACAACCCAAAGTTGGCAAGGAGGAACATCTCACAGAGTAAAATTATTTAGTAGTGAAGCATCACATTGCAATTTGTTATGTGCAAAATGTTGATTCACTATATACAACATTTCAATCTCCCATTCAACTTCTAATCTATAATAATTCACGAATACCAAATAAGTTCATACATTTTGAGGATAGTGATCCATACAAGAGTACTTGTATATGTCGGTAGAAGACTTACATAGTAATTTAATCGAATTGAACAAGTTGGAGCATTCAAATGCATGTTCTATTATGTTTAAATATTTTTCGTGGTTGCTTCTTTATCTTTCGAGCAAAATAATCGCGTTCTAGTTTATTCGTTTAATTGTTCGTCAAAGTTCAAGTTTGTTTATATTCAAATAACATAGTGCACAAACTTTTAAAACCGTTTGATTAACTTGAAATATGTTCATTCGAGCTCGCTTGAAAATAAAATGCATATATATATATATATATAAGATATTTTTGTTAAAGTTATCATACATATATAAATATTAAAATAAATACAATTATATTAGATTACATTATCGAATGTTTGCAAACAAGGTCGTGTTCGCTCGAGAACGAGGCTAATCACAATTCAAATTGACCCTATTAACAAATGTAAAAAGCTCTTGTAAAACCGCACAAAGTGCAAAGAAAAGCAGCCAAAGGCTGAATAGTACAACCAGATACTAGAAAACTGGGAGACAGATCCAGAGATCGCCTAGAGCCGACCCCAACGGGATAATACTCGGGCAACACACACGAAAACAACAAAAACACAACCACACTAAACAAACTACACCAACAAAACTAAACAAGACCCCAACAGAGTAATACCCGAGTGTCGGACCCCCATGGAGTAATAAATTTGACACCCGGGTGCACAGAGGCCAACGACCCAAACCTAAAACACAAACACAAGAGCAAACACCAACACAGACAGAAAAAACCAGCAAAAAATACAACTAAAAACACATAATCACAAGCCCTCCTCTACAACAACTCCTAACCAGACTAGCAGCCACCAAATCAACCTAGGGACACCCACCGCTTGAGATAAACAACCCCTCCACTGCAATTAAGCCTAGCTGAATCACAACTCAAGCCACGAGTCCCCCCAAAAGCCAATTCTCCCCCAAGCCAGAAATACCAAGAAACTCCCAACACAGCCCACCAAGCCCCTAACACCACTAGCAGCTCAGAAGAATCGAGAACCCCAAAACCCCAACACAGGGATCCAGAGGAAAGGAGGAGTCTCAATACCGCAGCCTCAGCCCCATCATCTCTAAAGCCAAAGGAACCTGAGCCAATCAAGAGCCCAACCTTCTAACCACCGAACACTGCCGGACGCAGGCAAAGAAAACCGAGACAAGAGCGGCTAAAAGGAAACTTACCCTCAATCGAGACCGGCAACCGACCAATCGTCGACCAAAGGCTCACCGCCTTCACACACCAATCCGCCGGCGAAAAGGATCAAAGCAGTCCGACGGTTCCTGCACTCCACAGCGACCGGAAAGCACGCCGTCAAAGTCGAATTCGGGGAGAGGGAGAGGACCGCCTGAGAAACCCAAGACATCCAACCTGAGAAGATGGACCTCCGAGGCCGCACCCGACCCTGACCCAAAGCTCCGCGACCCAAGATCTTCCCTCAGGATCGAAGTGGTCGGATATGGCGAATCCAATTCAATTTCCAAAGAGAGTGAAATTGGCACCACAAGGACCACTGACGCCAAAAGCAAGCTTGGTCGCGGCATCTGGGAGGGCCGGGCGGCGAGGGGGCGACTACCGGAGAGGCCAAAAGCCGAGAGAGAGGCGTCAATTGAGGAGATTTGCGACGGGAGGGGAGAGGGTTTTTTTGGGGGGCGAAAGGGGAGAGCGCTGAAATTGTAAGTTACTATCCTAATTTTTTTTTTTTAAAAAAAAAAAGCTCTTGTTAAACATGCGAAAGTGCAGTTTGTTAACTACTTGTCCTAGTTATATGTACATAACAATACATACATCTAGAGATGGCCAGTCAACGGGCCCGGGTCCGGCCCGACGACAGTCCACAAAAGCCTCGCCCGGGACCGAATCGGAGATTGCTTAGGGACGGGTCATCGGACCGGCCCGGTCCCGCCGGTTTATAAAAAAAAATTAAAAAAAAAATTGTTGCCCGGCCTCTGGCCCGCGGTCCAGTTAGACAAACCGGCCCTTACGTGACCGGTTCGGGCCGGTCCGGAACCGATTTAGGTTCGAGTCGACCCGTGACCATGTCTACATACAGCACTGACATGGAGTAACTCTCGTTTAAATAAAATATTCAATTAGAGTACTCCACCCAATGTATAACTTACATATATATAATTATATCCCTCCATAATAGCTTCAAATTCAATTTCACTAGGCAATATGTATGAATGGTATAAAAAAAGAGGAAAAGAAATTTTATGAATTAATGTGGGGATAGCCTCTAGGCTCTAGCATGATTTTGTACTTTGGGTGAAACGCGTATTTGTGCCACCTCCACCTATTGATAGATACAGAAAAAGAAGAAAAAAAAAAAGGCCTATCCCTATAATAACTTCACTTTTAAGCAATTTCTCTCGGTTCCATTGTTCACATAAATGTTCACATCCATAAATTCAATCATACAATCCCCACTTACTTTCAGACGAAGTCATGTTTGACAAATGATGCACCCTCATTATATTATATCCACCAAAAACTCTAATAACACAAACTATTAATTTTTTTTAATTTTTTTCCAACTAAAAACGCCCAACTCCATTAAACAAAAATACATAAAGGCTCTTGTGTGGACTTAATTAGCTATATTTGATAAGTCTAGCTGGTAATTTAATTGATAGATATTAAATTAGTTAATAATTTATAAGTGAATTTGAATTTATGATTGATAACTTATCACTTATGGCTGACAAATTAGTTAATATGATAAAAAAGTTTTTGTAAATTAGTTGATAAGTCACCTCAAATTAAAATTTTAACTGGTTTATTTGAAAAACCATTCAAAAAAGTTTATGAGATAAACTTGAATTTTTAAACAAATTCGTCCTATCAAACCAATCTTATTTAAATACAGAAAATTTATAAACTAATCAAATAAATTATAACCTTGCTTATGCTGCTTACTGAAAAATCTCAGTCATAACATGCATATATTAAAGAAATATGATGCATCGATTCGTCTAACAATTAAATTATCCACCTAACCATATCAAAATTCATTGATCTAAATATAGTTTAATGTTAGACGGTTAGACCATTTTTTTTTAATGCTACTCAATGCTTCCAGTACAGAGTTGGCGGACCACATAAATCCGGAATACCTAAAATAACTGGCAATGTAATAAATAAATTAATAACATCAATGTTCTGGAAATGAAAGGGCTACGCGCATTAAGAAAAAATCGTACTACTGAAGAAAAAGATTATATATATATATATATATATAAAATAAAAACACCTTGGAAATGTAACGAATTTTTCTTTGCAGACACGAAACAGTCAAATTCCAGAGTACCAAGGCATGTGCCCACGAGGTACAAAGTACAAACCATACTGTGTAAGTGGTTTTTCTTTTAGATATACAAACACACCCTAAAGAGTTTTAGATATAGAGATAATCGGTTATTTATGGCTAAATGATTTATTTAGAAATTTTTAATTCAAAATAATTAAACAAAATAAATCAATAATTTTCACAAGTCACATCAATTTTAGTTTAAATATATCTATTATTGTGTAATAACATTTCTATTAATGTTAAGTCAAATTAATTTTAATATTTATATTTTAAATATTATTTAAATACAAATTCAAAATCTCAATAAATACCTATTCAATCAATTTTTTACAAAATCTACTTATTGAGAAAATAAATCAAAACAACACCAAACAATTTAATTTACAATCATACCCTATGCAACTAGCATTGCCGTATAATTGTATATAATTAGTAATTAAATTTCAATAAACAAATAAAATTTCAACCAATCGCACAAAACTATATTTAAAANCCTGACCTTCAACCTTAAACTAAACACAACACCAGAGAGAGCAATTAACGACTTAATCACCCGCCTAATACAGTCTAATCATACTTAAAAAAAAACCCACCATTTTATTTTTTACTGCTAACACAAACCTTCCAACAGCAACCAGCAAAACCCGAGAAGAAAACTGCCATTCTGCCATTAATGGTGCCTCGAGCCACACGAAAAGTAAAACCCCTGTTTCCAGTTTCTCGCCCCCAAACAGTACTTTATTATTTCGTCACCATCGCAATCATCATAATCTACATTTATTACTAATATGCCATTCTCCTAAAATATATCACGGGCCACTAATCACCCGTTGTAAAAAGTAACAAAAGAACTATTAGCATACCCCATGAAAACAGAACATCTGCCCGGGCCGGGTCTGGCCGAGGCCCGGATAAACCCTGCTCTCATCTCTTTACCGATTGTCTATGGGCATTTGTAGCAGCAACCACCAGCTCCGGCCATAGAACAGAACCACCGCCTGATAAAACAGAGAACGGCAAATGATTATTCAGTACATTAAAAAAAAATAAGACGATGAGTAAATTAGCAAATACGAGTTACGGCCAAGTTAATTACCTTGTTTGATGCGAGTTTCGGACGGGTTGGGTATGTATGGCCGGGGCAGAAACACGCCGGTCCCGGACCTTCCCTTGTTCATACAGGTTTCTCCGAGGAAAGCCGGTCTCACTCTTGAACCGGGAGCGGTCCGCGGCGGCGGTTGTCGGAGCGGTTGAGGATGATGCTGCAGAGAAGGCCAAGCCGCCGTGGATAAACCTCGAGGTCTGCCTGCTTCTCCACAAAACCTCTGCTCCATCATTTGAAGTTGTTTCATCTGCTCAATCTTCATAAGCAAATTAAGAGAACAAATTTTAGACAAATTTCGACTTGTGAAACAAATAAATGAGGATAAATTTTGGAAAAAAATAAAGATAATAACTCACTTGAAGAGCTTGCAATTGAAGATATGCGAGTTGAGCTTGTGTTTCGGTCTGAGCTGAACTTGAATTGAAGATTGCCGTGTTCAACTTTTGCACCTGCGCGAAAACATGGGCGGGTCCCGGCGGCGGAGCGAAGAGACTAGTTGATTGAAACGGCGTCGTTTCTTGTATCATTTGTTCCTCAGTAATATCTCCGGCAGCCGCAGCTGCCGATGAAGGAACCCGGGAGACGCGGTTCGGGTCGGGTTCCATTCTGCAAGCACACAGGGTTGATTGTGGGGAGCTCGATAGCTTAAAATTCTGCAACTAAATTTCCAAAATTAATTTTAAAAATCGATAAACCAGAACAGAAATAGGGAAAAACATGGGGTGAGAAACATTTACCTTCCGATTGAATTCGGAAAACATATCGAAGTCAAGGAAAGTGGAGTGAGCCATCTTCCGAGTTAGCCCGGCGACAGAGACCGAGTCATCCTCGTCGCTCTCTGTTTCGGTGGAGCCAGTAACCGAGTCAACCGGCGAGCTCAGATCCGAGTTGAAACCGAACGAGCTCGCATAGCCACGGCTGAACTCGCCGCCCGCCTTCGTCTTCAACCGGTCGGGCTTGAAGTCCAGCAACAGCTCATCGTCATCGTCGGTGAGAAAATCCGACGGGAGCCAAAACTCTCCATCTTCGAGCTCCTGCGCCATAATCAGTAGCAGAGGATTTTTCGCGGTTTTGTGCTGAGCACGGAAGAAACTATCAATGGCGCGGGTAATTTAAAAAGGATATGTGGGAATGTGTTTTTGCTGCTGGTTCAAGGTTTAATTATAGCAATCACGGAGTGTTAGATGTGTGGGGGAAAAAAATCAATGGTGGCCCACGGAGAGAGAGACGGGTATAATTGGAGGCGGGACAAGGGGAAACCCTAGCAGGGGTGAAGCGCAGGCGCGGCGGCGGCAAGTGGAAGCACGCACGGCGGGGGAAAGGTTAAGGACGGTGGCACTTTTTTCAAATGGTGGTGGTGGTGGGTCCCAGCGTCTGACACAGGTCACTTGGTCCGCATGTGAGGCAGGTGCGGTTCGGTTTATATTAGGTTGGGACAAAAGAGAAGAAAATAAAAATAACTGTTCTAATTTTTTACCAATATTTTAAATATTGATATTATCTATTGCACATTTGCACGACAGCTTTTATAAATATATATTTTCCTAAAGTTTATATAGGCTAATTAAGGGCATGCTTGTTTACTAAATAATTTCTTCAAATTTAATTTATACTCAAAGTAATTCAATTTTAATTTAATTTTGTTATCTAAAATATTATTTATATAATTAAATAATACAAATTAATTATTCTTACAAATGTTTATAATTAATTAATAAACAAGCGTGCCCTATATAACTCAAAAACAAGCTTATGATTTAATTTTATGAAATATTAAATCATATCATAAGTATAACCTTGAAATTAAATTATATACTATAAACTAATTTATTACGTATCAGCTAGTTTATTTATGTTTATTAAAATCGAACAAGTATCATTTTTGCAATAAGTTATTTTTACAAATGTTTTAATTCTTGTATCCGATATTATCGGTAATATCAAATACCAATGGTTGATTGATGCGATGACCTTTTTTTCTTAAAAATATTGAATCATAGTGATTTAATGTTTAAAAATATCAATAATATTAAAAAATATCGATCCAAATAAGAACTAAGTATGAAGAAGTGCTGTTTATATTTTATCAAAATTTTAATTAATTTAAATCTACATTTAATTTTGATAGTAAAATTGGCTGGAGACGCGTACCCACTAATTGCTGGTACTGTTTAAAAATAAAGAACTAAAATATGAATTTCACCTTCTTCAAAATTTTCACCTTTTACTTTTGGGGAATGTCAGAGTAAATTGATTAAGGTAATGATAATTGATTATGGCATTAATTCAGGGTATATTAGCTGTCGCTTTAATAAGGATTACGCGATTTAAGAAGCTTTTCTTCGAGGTGGTGACGACCGACGACGTGTCGGCGGCGTTGTGATTGGCTGGGCAGCGGTGCCACGTAGTATAAAGTTAAAAAATAAAATAAAATAGAAAAAGCAAAGTGTGAAGTAACGGATTTGCCACCGATTGGATTGGGATTTGACAATGCTGCCCTTGCTGGATTTCATGATTCTGTTGGTGAATTTTTTTTTTTTTTTAAGCTCTTTGATGACATAATCGCACATGACATGTCAAGTTGTTTAGGAAAGTAACTAAACATGCAAACATTTTGTTGTGTAAATGCACTTTGCCTTTAAATAATTTAGTATATACATGATGCTAATTTAATACTTACTTTATGGATAAATTAATTATTCATAAAAGACAATGTGTAGAAGAAGATGATGGAAATTATAGGAAAAGTCAATTTAGCAAACACAAATGGTGATGAGAGGTAGTATGAGTATTTCAGTCATATAATTTCTTATTAAAAATTAAGTAAAATGCATATTTGTTTTACAAAATGTCGTATGATGTTAGGGTGCATAACCATTATAGTCCTAAACTTTTTATAATGCATGTTTATCTTACAAAATGTCATAATGTTGTTCGTATTATTTTTAAAATATGATATATGGTATGGAATAATATATATTTGTTTGAATTACATGATTGTCTAACTATTAAGCAATTAAGAGGAATAGCTATTGTTTATCAAAAATTCATTTAATATACAATTTTTCTTTACAAATATATTTTTCAAACAACACTTAACATAGCTTAAATTAACTTGAATTATTATATTTGGCCGGTCATTTATTTTGTTTTTGTTTTGTCATTTTATATCAAGGTATTAGTTTCAACCATTTATTTCAATTTATACTAATTCTAATATCTTAAAAAAATATTAACTAACCTTGAAGAATTTTCACACCTATTCAAAGGTGAAACATTTAATTGAACTTAGCCTAATTTTTCACACCTTGTTTCATTGTGTGGTCCTCAAATTTCACTGCCTCCCTCCAATATTCATAAGCAAGAGTCCATTAATATATTCTTCTTTCCTTTTCTTCTTCTTTTTCTTAACAAACCTTTATGTGGATATTGACTCTTCCCGCCAACTTCAACATCTTTTTGAATTCCACTTTTTTTTTTGATAATATAAATTTAAAAAGAATGGAAATGAGAGAAAGAAACAAGAATCATGCCTGTTTGAATAAATGCGGGAGTTATTGCAACGTAGGTTCTTTCTTATTGATAGAATAGTTAGACGAAACGAGTCGTTGGTAAGCTCGACTGACTGAAGCTCATTAAACATTTTATTAGTAAAGTTACTAAATTGTCTTTAAACCATCGCTCTCATCTAATAGACTTGGACAGTTGACTATCTTGTCTTGTACCTTAATTTACCTAATTAAATAAATTTAATAATTATACATCACTAATTAAGTAATTTGTCCAAATGGCATGCGCATTATACTTGTGTTGTATTTTGATGTTCCAATTGTTGTCTCAAAAAGTAAAAAATACGTATGGTTTTAAGATGCCATAAACGCAGTGAAATAAAATCTCACTTAATCCACACAAGTATTGGGTTAAATTAAATCAATGCTCCAATGCTTAGACAATGTTTTATTTATTTATTTATATTAATCCTCTTACATCGTCCAGGTATACTTATGAAAAAACACTAAAAAGAAGTGTTTATTTCATTTTTTAATAAAAAATTACTTAAACGACACATGTGCTTTTCCCGACGGCCTACAATTTTTTTTTTTTTTTTCNAAGAAAGTATATTCATTTGACATACAAGACGAAATACAAATCAGTTATATAGAATTTTTCTATAAAAAATAAAAATTGGAACATAACAAAAATTGCAATTTACTCATTTTCTCCCCCACAGGAACACAAATCCTGGATTAAAGGGAAGGGCCCCATTAGTGGTTACACAACAAGAAATGCGCATAAATGTCTATATATAACTGCACACTAATACAAACATGAAGTGTGATTCCACTACACGTCCACCAAATTGTGGTATGTTTAGTGTTTAAAATAACTTGAGCTATTAAATAAAATAAGTCGTTTGTGAGTTCAACTCGACTAGTTAAAGTTCGAGTAGCTAACAAGTTCGGCTTGTTAATGTTAAAAAAAATATGATTCTTTTTTTGTAACTTTATATAACTCGCTTATTAGAATATCTCTTGTGAATTGTCTCACATCGTTTATACAGAGAAATTATGTCTAATTTATGAGCATAGCTAGTGAGTTACTCCTACCACCAATTGGTTTTGGAATTGAACTTTACTAAGGTACACCTAGACTCACATTCTTATGCTGCGCTTCACATGCATGCGACCACACCCGTTTCCTTCTGATTATTACATCGCCCATTAGATCTCCGGTTCGACTTGTTGATGATAATATACGAGTCAAACTCGAACTCATTTATCGGCTCAACTTAATATAGACTCGAACTTGAATTTGACTGGGCTTGTTTACACACCTAATGACGCCCAAAAAATAAAATTCTTTAATTTTTTCGCCTCCTTTCTTTTTCCACGACAATTGGCGACGAAACTGTTATTGTTAATACTTAGGATTGAGTAGAAGCGGAATTGTAAAAGAAGGAAACGTAGAATATATAGATAACCGAACAAAAGTTGAACTAAACAGTTTCGATTCACTTTTAGTTCGATATTCTTACAGTATTTGGTGTATATTTGGTACAGTTCGATTGTACATTTCAAGGTATTTGATTTTCAATTGTATATGGTTTCAAATCGGTGCATTCTAGTATTCAATTTTATATGATTCTCAAATTGTTTTGCACTAACAATATCCTGTTTACTCATCTTTGAGCCGTTCGTGAGTTCGACTCAGCTCGACTTGAAAATAGAAGTTTTTATGTAATTTTTTTACTGTTTGAGTTCGACTCGATAATGCTGATAAACTAGTAAAAATCAATCCACATTTATTGTCTCGGCTTTATAAAGACTCAAACTTAAGCTCGAATAAAGTTCGAATTCGTCTTGTTTACATCCCAAGTTCCATTTATCACAAATCAATATAAAACAAATCATAATTCATTAAAAGAAATGGGATTGCTATTAAGCCTTGTTCTTCTCATGATGTGGCCAGTCCACCTCCTCTACCTAAAAAGATCATTTTGTTGGGGACAAATCCCCACATGCATTATATTTGGGCACAAAAATATAAGCCTGATTAGTATCAATCATGGGCCTTCAAATAATTATAAAACAAATCAAGATCAATTAACGGCTTGATTATATAGAGGGAGGGAATCATGATGATAACATAAGCTTTGTCATGATTGAAATATAAAAGGTATTTTGTGATGTAATTATTGCCTTTTTCTTTTCTCTTTTGACAACATATATCACATTTCAGGTTGAATTAGTTGGTATTTTTATGTGCAAATTGCAGCTTAACAAGTTACTCATGTAGTCCCACAAACTTGTCGGTAATTATCCAGCTGAAATTATGATAATTGGATTCAAGTGTGGTAGTATGAACCGATGGATTACACGCGATATTTACTCGTGCAAATATGTATTCATTTGAAAATTAAAACACCAATGTGGGTAGTGCGGATAGAATTATCCGTTGAAACTTCTATTAATGTGTGTGTCTTAAATGCTACATCGATCATGCGCATGTAAACTAATGTTCGTATAGGTCGATGTTGATCTGACGAATAAAATTTTATTCATACGTATGAGTAAAATTTCATGCTGAAGCTTCATTTAGTATATTGACCTGAATGTTGAAATGTAAGTGCGTGTGAAATTTTCCGCTAAAACTTCATTTAATGTGTTGATCTGACGTTCAAATGTCAACGTGCATGGACAAATTTTTCTACCGAAACTGTCGTTGATTAATGTGTTGATTTGACGGTTGAAATACAAGTAAGGGGTGACATTCCCCGTTGAAACTTCATTTAATGTGTTGATCTGACGGTTGAGATGCCAACGTGGACGAAATTTTCCGCTGAAAATGCCTTTAATTAATGTGTTGATTCGACGGTTGAGAAGCAAGTGGGGTGGAATTCCCCTCTGAAACCTCATTTAATTTGTTGATCTAATGGTTG